TCATCTAACCATGAACCAGATTAGACCGCAAGCCTCCGATAGATAGCAAATGTTTGTATGCCCTTGGCATATGACAAATATTGGATCAGCCCTAACTGTGAGTTCCCCAGGATGGAGCAGAAAGCAGAGGAAATGAGGCTGAGACCTAATTCAGCCCCTGCTTCCCCATGTGTGTACCTGGACCACTTGGAGAGTCACAGGAGGTTTAGACTCTCAACCTGCCTTGGCCTAAGATGTAGGGAATCAGAAAGCATCTCTTCCTTCTATGGCTCTTTGGGGTTATCAGATTATTTCATCTCAAAGAACAGAAGTATAGCTGTTCTTTACTGCTCTAGGCGTTGAAGCTAGTTTTACACATGCCAGTCAAGGACTGGCCCGCTGAGCTATAACTTCCTCTTTTGACTTTTATTTGAGACGGTCTCACTAAATTGCCCAGGTTGGCCTTGAGTTTGAAATCCCTTGCTTTATTCTCCCTGTTAGCTAGGATTACTGGTTTACTCCACCAGGTCTATCTATGCTAGCTACTATTTAATACCCCTGACTGACACTTCACTAAAATAGTTTAAGGTGCCAGCCTAGACTTCCGTGGCCCCAAGAGTCTTTGAGATAGCATCTAAGAGCCATATGGATCACCTCATAGGAGCTACCTTTTCCTGCCATTGCTGTAAGCCAGGCCCCTGTAAAAGAGTCCACAGCAGTGGGGGACAGAGCTGGCTCTGGGCAGCAGGCAGTTTTCCCATTCATTGCTCGACCAGGTTTTATTTCCTTGGGGACTCTACCATCTCCTAATCACAAAGGCAATAAGGGTTTCTAGTTTGTTCCTTTACTGTGCCTAATCAGTTGTTCCAGTTGCCACTCACCCACCCTGTCTGGAAGTTCACTGAAAAGCCCCCCTCGAGCTTTGGGGACAGCACTGACCTCCAAGGTGACATCAACAATGAAAGCTGCCTCCAGGGCAATCTGTGTCCGGTTGATTTGGTCACAACGGTTTCGTTAATATTGTGCTGTGTTCTGGAGGGCTCTGGTCCCTTCCTTAGGCTTTGATCAATAGGTCGCATTGTACATGCACTTGTTGAGTTGTGGAAATCATTTTGAGTAAGTATGGAAATGCTTTCTCCTTTTGTGAATAACCTCACAGCTCCATCCAGACATGGAGGTTTTCTTCCTAAGATTGGAAATCCCTTGGCAGAGCCTGTGCGTTTGTCAGCAAGCATATGCTGAAGTAGCAAGTCTGCCAGAAGCCGGCAGGTATTGAAACTTAAAACACTGAGATTTAGCACCTGCTTTATGCAGAGAAGGTGTTGGAATGTTGTGTTCAAATGAATGAAGGAGTAATACTTGGAGACTGTATACCTAAGAGTATATCCTAGATGTGTCGTTTGATAAGGTTAGATATTCTAACCTCGTTCCTGGAAGTCACTGAGGACAGCAAAGACATTTTCCAGGTCACGATGGCAGTTTCTGAGACTTGCAGGCCCTTGATAAAGGCCAAGGATAGTTAGTCCCTGTACCTGTAGCTAGCTGACTTCAGAGAGTTGTCCTTTGGATGTACATTAAAAAGCCATGCTTGTGCCTCTTATTACTTATCCTCAATTTCATGTCATTATTTTCATCACAAGTAATATCTGCAACTAGCAGTTATATCCTGGACTCTGCAAGCAGGCTCTTCTGTATAGACATCGATAATTAGTTTCTTTCAAGTAAGGCATAATCTCTCTATAATTCTCTTAAAATCTCTATAATTTTTATCCCATATCTTACAACACAGAAGTAAGTGATGGGCTTTCTTTGGCAGAAAAGTGATTGATTATGCCCTATGTAAGGAACTGTTCAAAAACTTTCAAATTCAGACTTTAAATTGAAGCCTGAGACCTCCTTTTTCTTCTTCTTATGGGGTCCCAGTAGAGGATCTTTTCCTGTTTCAGTATTATGAATCATCTATAGCTACAAAGGGAAGGGCTGTGGACATGTGTTTGACCTTGGAGCTTGTAAAACTTGTGAAACCCAGTCCTTAGCCAGTCACCTCCAATAGCTTACCCAGTACCCCTTCCCCACCACCTCCTCCCCTGCCATCCTAGTGTAACTTCGTAGAAGTTGGACACTTCTTTCCTCAACTTACCATCGTACCTCTGGCTTTCTGCCCCAGGACTCCTGGATGTCTTGAGGTTAAGCCTCTGTGACATGAGTCTGCTTACAAATCTGAGAGAATTAACACTTCCCTGGAGCAACCTTTGATCAGAAGCGGGCAGAAATTGTTCGATAAAATTTCTCTCTCTACACTAGAGCCCCCAAGATAGATTTTATTGGCATTTTGATTGTCTTTATTCGTTAAAAAAGCTAACATGAATTGATAGCAGATACTAAACATGTCTGATTTTATAGTTTATCCCAGGACTAAGTTTTGTGTCTCCCATATGATAGCTACTCCATAGCTACTTGTGGAATGGTTGGCACCTTAGAGAAGTACAAGAAGAGGCCAGGGCTGTAGCTCTGTGGCAAATCACTTTTCTAACATGCATAATGTTCTGGGTTCGGTCCCCAGCACAGGGAGGGAGAGGGTGAAGGAGAGGAAGGTAAAAGTAGTAAAATAAATATGTCAAGGTAGAGGGCTTAGCAAAAGTACTAAAGTATAAATTGTAGTAATTTAATTTGGAATGTGGTCACCTATCCGGTTGGGTAGAACCACACATTAGTGTGTATTAGAAAATTGTTAAAAGGTCAACATTAGTAAATCTTGGTACTTTGATAGAATTGGTGCACGCAGGCATTTCTCCATTTTCAAGCTGAAACCCACTCAGGAGCAGGAATACACAAATGATAGAATAACTTATGTGTATGTGTGTGCGTGCATGTGTGCATGCATATGTACACACACAGAGACACACACAGATACACACACACACACACACACACACACACACACATATATATATCGGACTCATCATTTAAAATAATGTTGGATGGACAGATGCTGGATGAATACACGATAGGTGGTTGGTTCTAACTTGGCTGAGAGAAAGGATAGTTCCTCAGCAACATCTCGCTTTCAGTGACAGACTACAAGTGTCCCATATTGTCTAGCTTATTTAATTGTAGTTAATGTGAAATCAGCAGTTACTGTAGACCTTTGGGAAACACCCTATTTCCTGCTGAACCAGAAAGTAAAGCATAACAGGAGCAACCAAGTCTCCCTGTTGCCCAGTGGGTTGCAAACAGCAAGGCAGTGTGTCCCTTGTGATAAACATAAACACATACAAACAAAAATACCTCTAGGGGTGCAGAAGTGAAAGGTACATTCAGCACCAATTACAGAACAAATGGGAGCTGCTGTTTCTATATTTAAGCAGAATTATTTTCCAAGGTAGCTATGTTTTCGTGGTGCCTGTGTGACCTATTATTCCATTGGTTTTTAGAACCGTATAGAAAAGCCAAGCTCCATGCTGACAAACACCAATATTGAAACTATTGCTGCAGTCAATCCAAACAGCCTTCTCCCTTGGGCTGCCTTATTATTCAGAATACAAGCAGAATTGTGGTTCCCTGAGCCAGCGGGGGCCAGTGATTCATAAGGTGACTCCAGCAAGCTTGCAAAAGCGCTGCTTGCATGAGGCTAGCACACACAAGAGAAGCTTAGGGTTGACTTTTTGAACTGGTAAGCACTTCCTGGCCTCACTACCACTTCAAGACCTAGAGGGCCACGGAAGGGTGAAGGTTTCTGAGGACATGAGCGAGCCTGACAGAATGCTGATTTACCAGAAATAAACCCTTCACATCAGATCACACCCATGTCAGGAGTTTTTTGAGCGGGAAGATGGTAATTCTGCCTCTTCACATGCTCCCCTAAGTCCTTGAACTCTTATTCCATTGGATTAGTCTTTTGAGGGCTGGGTCACCTGGGGTCTTAATTCTACCCTGGTGAGGTTGGCTGAAAGTGATATTGGTCTAAAAATACAACTCCCTGAACTTTTAAACCTTCAGTTTTTTTTTTATAATATGACTTTCTTAATCCTGAACTTGATTTCCTTAATTAAAAAAAAAATCCATTTGTTCTTTGATATTGGCGAAGTTCAGAAGGAGCAGGAATGGGCATAGAACAGAGAAGTGTACAGAGAAGGAAGCAGAGGAGAGTCGGTAATGATGCCGCCTGATTGCCGCCTAATGAGATGTCTGCCAAGCAGGGCCCCCACACTAAGGTCCTTCCTCTCTGATAGACTTTGAAAGTGACAAGCCCTGGTTATCAGGTGACATGGTTCCAATTAGCTGATGTAAATGGGCACGCAGGCAAGTTTGAGGTCAGATACAGCTCTCAAAGGTTAGGCTGCCCCAAGAACAGGGTTGTGACTCACCATCAGTGCGTGATTGGCAGTGGGGGGAAGGCCCCCCGAGCTGTGTGTGAGGACCACCTTCCTATTTTGAAATCTTGGATAAGGACTTCTTTGGAATAAGAACAAGAATATTCTTCACACATCAAAGAAATGCTTGAGTCTTCTAGGGTCTTAGTTAAAGGTGTGGGATCCTATGATGGGACTAGAGTTATGTGGGTTCTATTCATTTTACACTGACTATGCAGGGGCCTGACCCACAACATCTAGCTACACAGTGAGAAGGAGCAGAAGGCCTGTCTTGTGCCCATTTGCAGTCAGCTGACTGAACATGCCATCATACAACTGTCATCGTTCGTGACTATAAGGCACAGACACAGAAAAATGTTTGCATAGAAGCCATCCGCACAAGATGGAGGAATTGTCATGACCAGATAGGAAGCTGGCAGGGCATACCACTTCAGAGACAAAGGTGAGCCTGGGGCAAGCCCAGCTGGAGCTCCTGAGACAGAAGAGCAAGGGAGCCTGTTCCACCACAGAAACAAAAGCTGTGTGTTCCCTAAAAGGCACTCAGAGAAAAACAAACAAGCCCCTGAAATATGCCTGCTGTCAGCCTTGGTGTTTCAAATGTGGCCTCCTTCACGGCACTGTCTCATGATGCCTCTCTCTTGATTTCAGCTCCCGTTTTTGCCAGTAATCATCCAAGCCGAAGTGGAGCAGCTGCCGGGGCCGTGCCACCCCCACATCCTGTCAGTCACCCTTCTCCAGGACATAATGTACAGGGGAGCCCCCACAACCCCTCCTCCCAGTTACCTCCACTCACAGCTGTGGACGCAAGCACCGAGAGGTAAGGCCATCTGTCTCTCTCTCATAATAGGTGTTGCCGCCAAGAGAAGAGATCTGACAGTCGCTGAATTTTATTAATAATCCGTTGGTGGGTTGAGTTAACCAGGGTTGACATTTTAGAAGTAACATACACAAAGCATGCGGACCAAATACCTCATTATCTGTTACATTTTGTATAACGAATGAAATGATACTGGCAGTGAACAGCAACTCAAGTGTCAGGAGCTGGGAAATGTGTCGCCAAGCCCCATCTTTGCCACATCACCTTGTTTCAGGACTCAGTTTTCAGTGAGATGGGAGGCTGGCTCTGCAGACACAAACAGTGCCATGATCACATAGGTAGCAATATAAGTTTTGTGCTAGGAAGCCTTCCATTCTTGACAAAATGCCTGAAAAATCAGTACACATACGGGTGGTTTTGCCTGATGGTCTCTGTGATTGCACGTCATGGTCCCTGGGCCTTGCTTCGGGTTCATCAGAGTGGGAATATGTGGCAGAGAAGGCCTGCTCACCTCATGGTGGCTAGGAAGCCAAGAGAGAAACAGGAAGGCACTACATTCTCAATTTCTCCTTCAAGGGCATGTCCCCAGCAACCTAACTTCCTGTCACTACACCTTACTTCCTTAGAGTTCCACTGCCTCCCCAAGGAGCACTTCAGGGTGGTACCCAGAAAATGTCTCAACACCCAGGCTTGGGTAGTTGTTCAAGATTCAAACTGCAACACCTTGTGAGAAGATGGCAAAGTGACAGAAATTATTACATGATAGTCAACAGTCAGTATCGACTGTTCACTCGATACTTTTATTGGTATCATCCTCAAAGAGAATTTCTATGGCAAAAATCCCTGAATAACTCTATGTTCTACTTTTGCTTCTCCAATGGCTTTACCCGTTTGGGGCTAGAGGTGGGTTGTCATGCCTCTGTTTCCCAGGTGCATCTGTTTCTATGAACCACAAAGCCAAACAGTTTCTCCATGAGTGAAAAGGCATGGTGGCGTAGGCCTTGAGAGAAAAGGAAGTTTTCTCTACACAGATAAAAGGGAGCAACATCTCAGACAGCAAGGCCAACTGTAAGATGAGTGGGAGGAGAGGGTGTGCCCCAAGCAAAATGGTCTTGATCACTTAGGATAACAGCATACACATGGATATGACGATTAGGTGATAATGGGCTGGCTGGCTTCTGTGGAAACATATGTTTTAAACTGAGGAGTTGCCTTCATCCTACTGGAAGCAAATAACCATTGTTAGAAGAAACATGCTAAGAGCTTGGCTTTATAAAGGAAGGACTCGGCCTAAGAAAGCGTTTACAGTTGGGGTGAAAGATGGGAGGGTACAGCGTGGAGCATTTCAGGGTTCCTTGTGAACAATATGATACCTTGAATTAAGACAAACAAGGAGAATTCACACACAAGAGCTGTATTAGGAGGCAGATTTGCCAGAGAATAAAGAAAAGAAGCCACACCAATGCCCAAGTTGTCTCTAGAAAACTGTGCCTTTCGCAAAAGTTGAAAAATAAAATTAAAAAAAAAAAAGTATGAATTGAATTTCAGAGAATGACTTTTATGAGATAGTAAAAGAATATGTGATAATTATAAGTGGGAATCAGAAGGTAAGAATTATTTTAACAGCCATGTGTACATGGCAAAGTATAGCCTCCCCTCGAAGAAACTGCCAGCAAAACACGTGCGTGGTGGCCACCCATTACATTCATGGTCATTGGGAACAGAAAATCTATTCTCCAGTTACCTAAGCTTACCTCTTTTCGTGTTATTACACAGTTTCCAAATGGACTAAAAGTGTGTTCACCTTAGCATGCCATAATAGCTCACACAAGACTGCTTAGACAAACACATGTACCTTGGTGTGACTGAGGGATTAGGGTCAGAATCTAGAGAATGTTCCATGATCACAGTGACCCATAGCATAAGTAACAGACGACACAATAGCTCTATGTGAATGAATGAAATAGACATTGTGCTTTCTCGGTTTTATATTGCTGCATGTCCTTGCCACAGGATGTGTACTCTGACCCCATACCTTAGTGACTGGACTGGGCAAATGTGAGATGTGGGTTATCTCTTCCAATCAGGTTGGAGAAGAGGATGACATGAAGAAGCCCTGAATTATTCACTGTGTTTACACTAGGGACCAGAATGAAAAGGCAGAGAGGAAATAGGCTTACCTTCCGCTCTGGGTTTATACATCTTTGCTCTGTTTGCCTGGGAAATGCCCCAGTAAAAACTCCAGCAGCTTTCTTAACGGAAACAGGTTGATCACACTTTGCGATTTTAGTGGGGCACTGGCATCTTTTCCTGCTTCGTGGGCATTGATTCATCATTTACTTAGTTTTAGCTCATTAATAAAATGGTCTGAGTCACTGTCAGAAGTCAGAAAAGGCCCCCAGCAAGTGCCCATCTAAAGTCAAGTACTTTGATCCTGACCATCGTAAAATAAATGTGAGTTCCTTCAATTTGATGAGAGTCTGTTTTTATTTTAAATACTAACTGAATGACACATAATTTCAGGGATTTGAGCAGTTCCACGACACATGCCTGATGCTGATTTGAACTTCTTAAGGGAAGTAGTGTTTTCCTATGTCATGTTATATGAGCCACCAGCAGTATATTATATGTATGACAGTGGCTTCCCTTGAGAGGAACTCGGTATCTTTGGAAATGTTAATTCTTTGAGCATTATAGTATGTCTGTTACACCAACACATCACAAAAATATTTATGGGCAGCCATTTTGAACTGAAAAAAAAAATCCTTGTACCCTCAGTCTGTGTCACTCATCTTTGCAAGAGAATACCAGCTGCCTCTCTTTCTTCTGAAGGCCACACCCATGGTACACTCTGTAGTACCACTGACAGGGATGGAAGCTGTGGATGCCCCACAAGGGAGGGGCTTATAGAAGATTTTCTGACACCCCCCCCCTCTGAGACATAGATGATTGAAACAGAAGAAAGAATTGGATCTCTTTGCAGACTGTGTAGTCTAGAACAAGAATTAATACCTGAAAATATTAGGAATCAGTTTTGGGAAAAATAGTTAAATTGCTTTTACCAAATAAAGAGTGCCAGTTTCTCTAGTCTCTCATGTTATTTCAGATGTGACTTTGCTAGAATTCTAGGCATTTGGACATCTGTGAGGGCTTGTATGTCCTTGACCATCCAAAGTGAATCCTTACTCCTGGAAACTTGGTACCATCTACCTAGAGGCTGAAGGTCAAAGAGTCACCATTTCTCTGCACTGTTTTTGCAATTAATAAAGCTCTCCATTCTAGGCAAGCCAGCCTGTTCACTACTTTGTACTTAGTTTGCTCGATGCCATGCCTTAACTTAGCCTTTCCAGATAGTATATGCAGCCTTCAGTGCTCAGCTCAGTTCTCAGCCCAGGAACCTTTCTCAGGTCAGAGGCTGACATCCCCTTGGCTCTTAGGCTTTGTTACATCTACCATAGATTTGATAGGCTATCTACCAGCTAGAGCTGAGTTTAATGTTGGAGGGCAGAGGCCTTGTCTTCTCATAACCTTCAGAGTACATTGCTCTGAGTTATATGGTGGTTCATGTTGAAGAGGCTCTAACACTGGATAGGGAGCATTGAGGAAAATGACTGGCAAGCAGAAAGGAATTGCCTACCCATTGTCCCAATGGAAGCTTTCCATAGTTTTCTCTTAGATCTCTGTTTTGTTTTTTATCAGGACAGTGGCCTTGATTCTTAATGCCTCTGTCATCTTATACCTCTTGCAAACTTTGATGCAGTACCTAGGTTCTAGTTATAGGCACACACTCAGAGAGGTATGGTGCTTTCTCTGACCATCAATACTAGAAACCTCATACTGTGGTCTCTTATTTGAGTATGTAGCATCAGAATACATCAAAACTAGGCCTGTCGCTTTCCTAAAGAAAGCTCCTGAGCAAACAGGGATCTTGGTGTCTTCAGCTACACAGCTTGTCTATAGCTTCACATACATTATACACTTTAATATATATAATCAGGATCTAACCCTGGGGGCTCAGTGGTTCGTGGAATCTTTCAGTGGACTGGTATTTATGAGGCACAAGATAGGTTAGACACTAAGAACACCATGGGGCACATGATAAGCTATAGCCATACCTTCTCTGAGCACTGAGTCTAATGGCAGCAGCCAAGCCAATAGGCTCTGCTAACTTAGACAAGGGCAAGGTGACACAGGGGCTTTGAAGGCACAGAGCAAGAGGGAGAAAGCAATGCCCCCACCCCAAAGGCACTAAAGGTGTGTGCAGATGTCAAGAGAGAAGATAACAAGCGTGGGCGGAGCTAAGCATGTCACTGAGAGTGACCCTTTATTAGCCACATAAGGAGTTTCATCTTCCTCTGGAGAACAGTTTGTATGCTCAGCCAATAGGAAACCATGGTGACTCTAGCATTAGTTCTAAATGTGCCTGACGTTCACCCACGGTAGATTCAGAATATCTTTTAGAAGAAATGGCAAGGAATGGGAAAGTGTTTCATTTGGTCTCAGTCAGACAAAGGTTGTTCTCTGTAACTCTTAGACTAGTAAGTAGGCACCTTGGGGTTGATGTTATTTTATTTCCTAGTACAATTTGAAAGGATAGTTTTGTTCTTTGCCATTCCAAGCTTTTATCCTACACAGTTATAGTTTATCGGGTCTTTGAAGACTCCCTGAGTGTGAAAAAAAATAAAATAAAATGAAAATTCTCTCTGTTGGAGACAAAGTGTAAAGGTCTGGGAATCAGAGGCACTGGTTGGCCTCACTTGTCTACTGTATTAGAGGAGAGTTAACTTCTGCTAAGAGCTCTCCACAGGACTGTGTGCATCCTCACGCAGCTGCAGGTTACTCGGGGCACATCACTGAGGGCACATCTTGACATGTGTAGCAGATACTTTGTCATGTGCACCAGGACATTCCTAACCCCAGAGGGCAACAAATAAACACACACAATAAATAAAGTCAGTCAGTCTTGATTCTCACGGTCATGTGGCATGAAGCGAACTCCA